CCAAAAAAAAAAAAAAAAAAAACCCCCCCCCCCCCCCAGCCAGAGGCTCGCCTCCATTAGGCTACTGGATGCGGCAACTCCAAACAAAACACCATTTATTACTTAAAATAAATATTTATTAAAATAAATTTTTAAAACGAGTAAGGGATAGGAAGCTCTGTGGTGTATAAGACACAAAAAGCCATACACGTGCTCTCTGCTGGTCTCCAAAGCTGGACAGGGGGTTTAAGAGGCCCCAGAGATGCCCAGCGAACGCTCATCTTGGCTCCCAATGCTCCGAGCAGCTTTATCCTTTGCCCTCACATCTGTGTACTTTGGGGTCCCTGCGGTTCCCAGTGCTGCTCACTGGGCTGTGGGGGATTTCCCTTCCGTTGCCTGGACCCTTGGGGTTCTTGGTGGCGTTCCCCATCACCCTGGGGGCAGCTCCAGGGCTCTGTGAGGTCCCCAGACTGCTCCCAGATTCGCTTCCAGCACTCCGCAGCATCCCTCACCTGTCTGGAGCTGGGGGTGCTGATGGTGATGGCAGGTATGTGCTGGAGCTGGAGCTGGAGCTGGAGCTTGTGCATGGGCTGTCCTGGGACCATGGAGCTGCTGCTGGGACGGGCACTGTGGCTGCACCGTGGAGGAGGTGAGTGGGGTTGGGGGGGTCTGTGCTCGGGGCTGGTTTATGTGTGGTCCTGGGTCAGGTTGGAGCTGTGTGCTCTGTGGCTGGCCAGGAGCTGTAGCTCCAGGTGCCTGCACCTTCTCAGCCCTGCTGCAGTGGTCCGATGTGTCTGTTCCTTGCTGGACGTGTGCTGCTCGCACCAGAGTCCCCGTAGGTCATCAGGGATGCTGGAATTTCCCTATCTTTCCCTGGGACAGGGCAGGAAGTGTTTTCTGGCTCCAGTGTGCCCAGGCAGGGTTGTCCCCCGGGGCTGGGGCTGTCCCTGTTGGCCCTGGGGAGGGCAGGGAGAGCGTGAGGGGCTGTGGGGGCTCCTGGTAGAGGAAAAACAGGAGGGGGAATTGGTGACAGGACATGAAAATACACGTGGATGAGGAGCAGCTGCTTTGGAGGACAAGGATGCAGGGGCAACCGAGAGGAGTGGAAGTAGCAGGGGGAAATGGTGATGAGGAAGGTGTGGTGTTAGAAGCAGTACAGCGGAGAAGAGGGAGCAAAAAAATGCTCCTCTAGTGAAATAAAAACTGTCCTGAGTTTCTGACAGTTCCTGTACGAGGAAGCTGCTGAGCTTATGGGGGCATCAGGCTGGTTCATGAGGGGTCGCACCCCACGGGGGACTTGTGAGTGTGTAATGACCACACAGAGGCCCTGCAGGCTGGGTTAAGACCACATCTGAGAGTGACTTTGTGTCCCTTCAGAGACTTTTTTTTTATTAATTATTCTTTAGACAAGACAAAGGGCTCTGGGACTTGGAAGAAGACCTCTGTTTAAGGTTCCTCCCCAGCATGGAGTCTCTGATGCTTAATCAGATGGGAGCTCCGGCTGAAGCTTTTGCCGCAGTTAAGGCAAGTGTAAGGCCTCTCCCCGGTGTGGGTGTGCTGGTGAGGGATGAGGTTGGAGTTGACGCTGAACTTCTTCCCGCAGTCCAGGCACTCATAGGGTTTCTCACCTGTGTGTGCGCGCTGGTGGACGATGAGGTGCAAGCTTCTGTTGAAGCTTCGGGGCATCAAGCACGCATGGGGCCTGCCCACCACGTGCAGCTTCTGATGCCGCAGGAGGTGCGAGCGCTGGAAAAAGCTCTTCCCGCAGTCCAGGCAGGGGTAAGGGCGCTCGCCCACGTGCAGCCGCCGGTGCCGAATCAGATGCGAACTCTGGATGAAGGCATTCGTAGGGCCTCTCCCCTGTGTGGGTTCGCTGGTGGGTCATGAGGTTTGAGCTCAGGTTGAAGCTTTTCCCGCAGTCCTGGCACTGGTACGGCTTTTCCCCGGTGTGGGTTCGCTGGGAGTTTCGGCTGAAGCTTTGCCCGCATTCCCCACGCATGTTCTTCTGCTCTCCTGCAGGGATTTTCTGCTGGGCTTTGGTTGCCTTCTCTCCTTTGCATCCTTCCCCAGAAAGGATGGCTTGAGGTGTTTTCTTCCGTGGTGGATTTTCGAGCTGCCTCTTCTCCCGATGGCTCCGGCTGTTGCCTTGCTTAAGGTGCTGGGGAAAATCCCCTCCAGAGATCTCCAGCAACATCATCTTCGGTTCGGTGGGTTTAGAAACCTCCTGCTGCGAGCTCGCCTTGTCCATCTGGCCTGCCAGCCTGCCTTCAGCTGGGCACGGGGAGAGAAAACGGGGTCAAGCAAGAATAACGCCTGCGTGGAAGGGCGCACAAACACAGCAGGGCAGCGGCGCCACTGGATTCCACCTCCAAGTCCCCAGACGTGCACCAGGGTTAGGACTGACCTCATGGCAATTTAGGCGCTGGCCTAGTTATCAAAAGCTGCATCAGGGGCAGGCTTCATGTTGATGCCTAGATTAGTTTTAAGTGCATGTGTGTGAGCTGGCAAGCTGAACTGCCTTTACAGACCATGGAAATCTGGATGGAAGGCAGATGTTGGTGTCTGGTGTCAGTTTAGGTGCAGTGGAGTATCCTGCCTTTCTTCCAGCTATTGGTCTGAAACAGCATAGGTCCTATCTCGTATCTGCATGTCCCATGTAAGTTGTTTGTGTACCCTACAACAGCTCACAGCACTAAGTATCTAGAACTGGGCCTCCAAACCTTTTCCTATTGTCCACTTCAGGAAAAGCTGGATTATTCTCCTGGTTCCACTGATTCTGCAGGCCAGGTAGTGGCCTCTATTTTGGTTACTAAATGTAGATGCAAACAACTTCAGATGTCTACAGGTAAGTGGGGTGGACCTCTTGCATTGTAAGGACTTTTTTTCCTTTCCTGACCGTCCCAGAGAAAACTTAAAACACAGGTCTCTCCTCTGCTTTTCACTTGAGCAGCTATATCGCACTGTGGAAATAGGAAATCCTAAACCAGGAAAGGGGGAAACTAGGCAAGAGCTTCGTGTTGTGGGCAGTTCTTGTCACCAAGAACATGAGTCAATGTTAGCAAGGCCCTGCTGGGTTTTGGAGGTTGGGTAAGCAGGGTATAGTGTCACTGCTGAATTCTGGAGACCCGGAGACCCTTACCCAGCTGGGCCACGGTATCCTCATTTTCCTGCATGATACCCCAGCAATTTGCTCCCAGGCACAATGGCCCTTGGGAAAATGCACAGCCGCTTCCTTCCAGAAGGTTGTCAGGAGCTGCAACGATGACAGTGATTTAGCACATGCTGCCGTAGTAGGAAACTTAAGCTCTCATTGCAAGAGAGGAAGTCACATCCTCACGAAAAAAGCTCCATCAATGGCCAAGAGAGAGAACCTAGCACTTCTGGGACAAATCATCTCCCTGTACAATGATGTCCACTTTAGGATGAACTTGGCTGCACCCAAGACTCCCTTGATTTCTTATTTATTTACTGTGAGGAGAGTTTTAGATACCTCGCAGGCAGCTACATATTAAGTGTCTGGATTGAGTCATATGTATCCCACCCCAGGTGACTCTACAGCCTTAAAATATCCCAGCTCAGCATGGGAAGTACACAGTGTGAGCCAGAGAGCTGCGTCTGTCCCTGGGAGAAGATGGCCTGCAGATCGCCATGAGGATAATCAGCAATAGGATGGTGCACAAAGTCCTCAGCCGATGGGCTGCATCTGCTGCAGCCGCGTGCCAGCTGTGCTGAACCAAGTGTAAATCGGAGCAGACATGCCAAGCCCCCTGGAGACCCTCGAGCAATGGCAAAATGGAGCCTACAGTAGAGAGCCGGGTCCGGAAGTGACCCTTTGATCCTTTTGAGTAGTGCAGGCCAGATAATTTGACTCAGACCAGGAATGAAAAAAAGAATTACTTAAGGAAAAATGTGCGTGGATGAAAAGCTGTCCTAGCAGCCTAGGTCATGCCTGGAAAAAAAAAAAAAGCAAGCTCAACCATACACACATGTTAAAAGCATACAGAGGAGAGTTAAGCACATGCTTCCAGCCTATCAGCACTGACGGGACACTTAATTAAGCCCTGAGGCATCACCAAGATGATAAATCTCCAGGACTGTTACCTCTGCAGGGCTTCTATCCTGCAAGAAACCACAGCCCTCGGTGCTGGGGCTGGGATCCAGCGCTCTTTGCTGGCCTGGGAGCCTCCTTTCCAGGCTGGGCCTGTCTGATCCTAGCCAGGGATAGTTTTTCACGGTGCCGTTCATCTGGAGGCACCAGAAAAACCATCTCTAGGTAGGGCCATGGGGAAACTTGTCCTGGCCAGGAGGGAAGGGGCAGGAGCGGGGATGGCTTTGGGCCTGGGAAGGGCTTTGCACCGCAAACACACTCTCAGCCCTCTCTCCATCTCTCCCTTTCACCCTTTTCCAGGCGGGCGAAGGCTGTAAGAAGTTGGGGGGGGGAGAAGGAAGACCCCCTCCTAGGGATCTGATCCTGCTCCTTCCTTCCTAGCCTTGTTCTGCGGAGACGGGCTTGCAGCTCCCTCTGCGACATCAGGGCCACGAGGGCTGGGTGGCAGACCCCCCCCCCAGCTCCCTGGC